CCATTAAACTGCTAGATGAGTATGAAAGAAATCTGAGAATAAATAATTGAGGACCGTACTGAAATCATGAAGTGAAAGCTGGTGTAGCGCATAGATGGTCTATACTAACGGCAATTTCAGTAAGAAGTGAACCAAGGATACCTTTTAAGCAAAGTTTAGTATCTGTGTTGCCGTTTAGTGAAATAATACAATCCGCTATAGTATTTATCAATGTTCGCAACATGTTCCGCCATATTCAGATGCATGTTTTGTGAATAAAGCCTGATGACAATGGCTATATCATGACAGCAGTACAGTAATCTATACCATGCCTATACATTGATTTGATTATCGTAAGAATCTTCCTTAATGTATAATTTATCTTTCAGAAATTTAAAGATATTTAACGTATTTGCATAAAGACAAAGAATAGTAAACCCATCTCTGATACATGAGTCGACGGGTCAATCAGTAACATTATTCCGAAAGTTAAATAATTGTTATGATATTTACTCTTTATTCAGTATTTTCTTGACCTCGTTTCGTTCTCTGCCATCATATATACCAGGCTGTATTTTACGTTAATGAGTAGGCGTGACGATATGCTATGCACTATCATTTAATTTCCTTCCTTTCACTCCTGTAATTATTGCCATCTCCAAAATATAACAATATTCGGCTTTAGGATGCATAATGATTATATCAGATCGTTAATTAATCGACGAAATCAAAGCATTTTACTCTATTGGATAAATGCTAAATATCATAGTAGTACTCATAAAACACATTTACCGCTATGACGCTTGCAAGTAATTGATATTATTTTTAGTATATTACGTATTATTAAGTAGAAACAATACATTTACTGAATTTTAAAAGCAAAGTACCAAATTCTTATTAAGTTAAGCCTAACCAACTCGTAATTATACTTTTATGACAGAGATTAGTTGTCGTGTCTGCTTATGTAAACTTCTATTTTAGTATTAATTAATTGTTCAATTACTGTAATTGAACATATGTTAATATCGACTAACTTTAAGCCTCTGCTATTGTTTATTGGTCCTTTTGTACAGGCACTAATACATTACTTTAATTTAACTGATATAGATAACAATAAAATCTCGGAAACATCTTTTCCTTGAAATTCTATAAAGAATTGGGACTAAGATTTACCAATCTGAAGACAGTAACTGTTGCGCATTTTCGTGGGGAACAGGTTCGGACTCAAAGAAATACACGTGCTTCTTTTTCTAAGCTACAAGCTAACTTTATTCCGCATTACTTCTGTAGTTACCGCAAAAATCTCGCAGTCTTCATTCTAATACAGCTATATATACCGTACGCATACAATGCACAATTTCCGCATAGCGATTCTACGCTTGGGCATAATATCAATACCTAATCCTATGATAAACCATTAATCGTTATCATTCTATACATATTATCGTTTAACAATATCTATAGATACGAACCGAGTCAGTCAAACAGTACTACCTTACTATACTAACATTAAAACCAAGTCTAAGATTCAGATATATGACAGTAACAATCTATGGAAAGAAAAAAATATTTACTTAGATTGGTGCTGGAGACGTTCTTTTCGATACTACTTTTGGCTGAGCATAACTTTTTCCATCTTGTGAACTTTAACTGCTGAAGAATTCTCATTACAAGAAATGACGATGGCTATAACTCAGCTTAAGACTAACAATGGATATGAATACCTTTTCATTTTTGATCGCCAAACTTCGTAGCTCGTATAACACAATTTTTATGGTATAAAATTTTTATTAGGTACATCACTATAGGTTTTTCCTTCCTTTCGTTTTATACATATATATATGATAGTGTAGACTGGCGTATACTAACCATGTAAAATTAATACTCCTCGTCAATTTATTTGTGATTTCATATAGATAATAATACTAAAATTTTCATATGGTGTATCTGTTAATACAGTACAGTAGAGAGCAGTACTATAGGAAAGAGTGATGAGATTTGATGACGTTTAACTTCTTTTCGTAATCATAGTAATAAAAAAACAAATACCGTTCTTAATTTATTACATCCACTTTACTCTTGTTCTTGCTGTATATCATCCACAGTAAGCAAAAAATTACAAACTTATTGGTATACAGTATACGTGTAGATAACGACATCATTTAATTGAGGTAAAGTATACAGTTACAATACATCATTAGAATAATGGTGATAAAAAAATCTTATATACGTTAATTTAGGCCGATAATATCTGCTTGTATCTAGTGTACTCAAGGTTGAACTGCTGAATCTATTAGAAGTGTCAATCAGTTTTTAGCTTGATCATAATATCGCAGTGAAAAGTAGTACCCTATAGCGTTGTGTACATTGTATATTGTTGACGAAAATCATGTCACCACACTACTGTACCATTACAATACTATGATAGTTGTTAGCATGTTTATGATTTCACCATAACAACTTTCAGCTGAATATAATTTTATCATGATTTCCTATTTATGTAGGTAATATGTGAATATTTTAATTATTTATTGATTTACGCCAAGTTTAAGTCCTATGCTGGTTATTCTGGGATATTCTTGATGTTAAGCCTAAAGTAAACAGGCTACATTATTTACTTTTCTAGAGCGAATCACACTGGCTCCCTAAAAGTACCGTGATTGAGATTACTGTATGTCTAACAAGGTATACGATTACTAACAATGTAGCAATATTTGAAATACTGTAGCATAGTGTATTTATTAGTACGATAACCTTTTAACTAAATGTAATTTGTCATACGTATGCAATTATTTTCATATCATGTTAATGTAAATCAGATTTTAGTCCTAACATCATTATTCATATTTATCGTTCTTATAAAACGTAAATGTAAGCTATTTACTTTCCCCACTATGACAAGTAATATCTTGACGTTTGCAGTCTAGAGCTAGGTAAAATTTTACTGCCATTTTATTTAATTAATTTTTTATCTCAACCTTTAGGCTCTTAAGTAGGGTCTTTAGCGCTTTAGTCATATATTCTATTGAATAATACAATGCATGATATTGTATATGTTAACATATACAAATATTCCGCAATCTGCCAAGATTGAATTACTTTTAGCATTGACAAAACAAAAATTCAAAATGTTATAATACGGTTTCATGGCATCATAGCTATAATTAATCGGAATGTTACTGGAGGCGTATCATTTATTAATCGTTGGATCCCCATTTATAATATTTTCATCTATGCTATCAATTTTTTTATTTATTGATGAGGTTATGATTCAAACACAATAATTCGAAGTTATTCGTTCTTCTATTTTTCAAAACGCTAATTATAACTATTCCAGGATAGATGTATTATTATGGATCAACAGGACTGTGATGGATTATCTTATAAACAACGAAAGGCTCAAAGCGGTATACTTTTAGGGTATTCAAAGAGATTAATTAATCTAAGACTTATAATTAATGACCAGCAGCATACAAGGTTATAACTAATGATTTGCACGTGACATAGATTGTTATTTCTCTGTTCTTTTAGACTGTATACAAACTATTTTATTTCGTGTTATGAAAGTTATGATCGTAAATTTTAATTCATTCAATGATTATAGGCTGATATAGACCAAATTTTCTCTTTTATGCGGTAATTCAGCTATTAGCGCAACAAAAACATGAAATAGAGCGTATATCAATCGAAATTCTCATTGGTTGGCAACAAGGTCGACTATATTCAAACACTGTAGTAACTCTGCTCATGTGAGTATACGTATGCATATTGCTATATCTTGCCGTAATTAAGCTAATGAGTAGGTACAGTTATAGGATATGCGCTATCATTTCACTTGATCCGTCCCATTGGTGTACCAGATTAAAATAAAGCCTATTTTGATCCTGAATTATCTTTGCATCGCGTTTGATCGTTGTAGCATTTAATTTTCGATATACCGTATGATCGAATATATTATAAAATAGACACAATATATTAATTCCAATATGCTAAATTATTGTTATGCCAAATGAGAAAGAGTAATCAACTCGTAATTACACTTCTATGATTAAGATATCGTACCTACTTAAATAAACTATTAATTTAGCACCAATTAATTGTTTAATTACTGTAATAGAGTAATTGTTATTATCGACTAATTATTTGATATTATAAGCCTTCGCTATTGCTTAATTAGTCGTTTTACAAATGTACCGGTACCAATATATCACTAATATATCACTTGGATTTAACTGATATGAAGTAAGAATGAAATATTGGAAAGAGTTTTTATCCTTAAGATTGGATTAAGAATTGGAACTGAGGTTCAACAATCTGCAGACTGTAACAAATTAAATTATAGAAAGAACAAATAAAACATTTTTACTAAGATTATTTACTTAATTTTTATTCTAGCGTCAAGTACCGGCGAGATATTTACGCTATAGCAATATACAGTACGTGTCGTGACTTTTAATTTAATTTCATGGAAGATATTACGGGTAATATGCTCGTATAGTTAATAGCGTGACTTATATCTATACGACGACATTCAATTACAGTAAAGAAATTTAAAGGATGTACCAATAATAATAGAATAACGATAATATATGTAATTACCATACAATTTCACTACTAACAAAAGCAAAATTTAAGAATAGAATGATTGCATAGTAGCATAAGTACGTGAAACTTCGCAGGCAGCTTCACCAATTGTTAATTTTTCAACTATGAATATTTATTATTGCCGTAAAATTATGTCTATTCTTTCTCAATATTCTGCGCACGTATACCAAGACAAAAAAACATCAACTGTCATTATTTGTAAAAAACTTTAATGTCACATTACTTTTGCCTAAAAATAATCCAAGAAAGAGTAAAGATATTGAAGTAACTTTATTTAAATTATGTTGTTATGGCGCAGTGTAATAATTATCTTCAAGTTTTGTATCGTCTTTTAAAAGTGTTAAAACAACTTCATATGAAGCCTGTGCAAGTTTATTCTGTAATGCCAATTTGTTATTTACATACTGTACTTAAAATTATTTAAATTTAAATTCTTCCAAAAGCTGGTATATTAAAGCCAAATCTAAGTCCCACGGCTTGCAATTTTGAGGTGATTTAGCATGAAGAAGAACAAATGCTATATCTTCCGTACTTTGCTTTAGGAATATGGGGTTAACGTTAGCCTTTTCGCCGAAGCAAATAGTTGGTATTTGTTCAGTTACCTGATTGACTTGGCATAAAATACTGTTGATGAAATTATATTCGCAAATTTCAGGAATCTTTCTACATTTCCGTACATATTTAGAAGTCGTACTGAATAACAATTGCAAGTAATATAGGTATAATTTAAGAGATACTACGACGGTGGCATTCGTACTATTTTTGTTATTCAATACATGATCAAGAGATACAGTATTTAAAATTCGGGGATACAAAATGTCTTCACAATATGACGGTCGGGTCTTGTTCTTAACTGGAAAATTTCTAATGACGACATCGAGGACAGCACTTGGAAATTTTGATTGTTGAATTATTTTCCCGCAAGCTGAGGGCACAAAATTTGTAGTATTGTAGCTAGGCAAATTACAATCATCCTTGTCAGATAATGCTTGAACGGTTGCTTTCAATACTGCAATTGCACTATCGCAATTCACTGAATACTGAGAATTTCCTACATTCCAAGCTTCCTCATCGCAGCAGCGTAAATTCTTCCCTTCACTAGGAATGATGATAGTTATAATGCAACTAAAAGCCAACAATGAATACCAATCCATTTTCACTTTTGGACCAATAAATTTAGTAACTCGTACAGTACAACTTGCGATGCTGCAAAACATTTTACTAGCGATATTGGACCGGTTCCACAGTTTATATATGTGTTGCACTCTAGCGATGAGAAGAAAGAGCCGGTTAGTACCTGATCACTGGTATAAATGTGATGCTTCCCATTTTGCTGGTTATTTAACTGCATAGGAAGACTTGAAGCGTACACCGTCCTGTGTGCAACCTACTTTGTGACTACTTTCCGAGTGCCGTTACGGTGTGAAGTTAAAATGATCAGAGAAATACTTGTAGTCAGCCTCTGCACTTTTTTATAATGAATTGTTGACAACACTGAAATTGACAGTCCCTCTCCTTTTCTAGTTATTGTTTCAGTAATATCTTGCTGCATCAACAATTTTTTTCTTTCATTTCTTTCTACCTCTGAAGGGTAACTGTGCAGAATCCGTAGAGTACACCACTTTAATATGTACAATATAATGAATAGAATTCATCAATATAATTGTTACACTTTATTCATCCGGTCCATTTATTTACCATCCTGTCAAGTCATAAATCGCCCGCTGGTAATGGCAGGTTACAAAGTAATCGGTCAACTTTAAATTGATTAATTTCCCGATTGGTTTGTTAACTAAGGCGTACTGTAAAATAATAGTCAGATTGATGGCGTTTCTACATTCTTTATTTAATTAATTTTCGCGTCAACAGCAAGAAATAATAATCTAGAGAAATGGGGACTATTAAAAAGATTGATAGAGGCCACTAAGCTAAAAGTTGATAACCCATTGGTCTACTCTATATAAGCTAGAAAACGATTACAGACTTTGTAGTAAGTACACCGCACTAAAAGTATGTAGTATACTATTTGCTGTTCTATACGAGTATGTTGTCTCTGTTAAAATGATGTTTTAATTATTTATAATTATTAAAGTAAAAATACCGGACCTGGAAAATTGTGATGTAGGCGTGGAGTTTTTAATACCCCGAATGCCATGCAATGATCACCATCATTTCACTTCGTTCTCGCTGTATATCATTAGCAAGCAAGCAGCTGCAGGGTTTTTAGCATAGAGCATGCAGTGCATAATTAGGAAGAGTAGTTATTACGTCTATTTCAAAGAATCTCATGTATTTTAATTTTGGCAGACTATGAAGGGTCTCTCATTTACTCACACCAAGCTGCAATAAGCAGAATGACGTTTTCACTTGCATAAAGCTTTTGTCTTTGTTTGATCATTGATAAAAATATATTTTATCGAAGTTAAACTTACTGGTAAAATACGTAAGGAAGAAGAAGAGGGAAGATGGCCTATATTCAAACAATGTGCGCCTTTATAGCTTTTCTAACCACTAATGATTAATGTACTACTACGGTACAGTACAATAATATGATGGTGTAGTAATATTGCTTTAGAGTAAGATAATTCATATTATTGCTCATTAATATTTGCTAACTAAATTATTTGCGACATCCTCCCAGCACAAATGGGCGGCTGTTCTTTACGTTCAACATATATCGACATGTGATGCACGATGTGAATTCATTTCTAATGATTCGGGGTCATTGATTCCTCGATAATTAAGTTTCGTCGCACAGTATACGCTTTCTTAAGTACCATAGATAGCAAAATGCCGGTCCAACGAATAAGGCATCGACACCAAGATAATTAACTAATTATAAAATGTGATTGATAGTTATTATTCTTACTACTGTATTACTCTTTAAATACTCTATTTGCAATCTAGACACCCGTCACTCAGTCTATCGCCAGTGTATTTAAACGTCTGTAAGCTACAGATTTTAATGAAAATACCAATAATTTTTAGCTTGCTGTTAACTTTGTGCTGAAAATTAATATAATAATACATATGGTTGAGAAAGTTGTATCAATATACCGTATCATATTATTTATAGCGACCACGATATGGTAAATTGTTTGCACTTGTCTAGATTAGTATTGTGTAGCTTAATTTTATATCGATTAATGCTTAAGCCGATTGCACTTACTTTAACGCTGATCCAATCATTGTGCGCTTCATTTTCTTGGATCCTTGACTATTAGATTACCGAATACTTTACAATTAGTTGTCTTCGAAACATCTCGGCCAATTTGGGTTAATGTAATTTACAGTACTATATGCCGTAAAGTACATACAGATTAATCGGAACTATGCAGCCAGCTGTATCATTCATTAATTTTAGAATCCTATTTATCATGCTTTCATCGAATATTGATTTATTGATTTACAGGTCACAGTACTGCATTGAGTACCTTTGCATATACATTATATTTGAGCTGATATAATTAAATATTATAATGTAAATAAAAATTTTTCAAATTTGCAAATCGTACGTAACGCTAGGTTACTCTAGTTTAAATGTTAATGCAAATGAGAGTTGATGTTTTTTTTTGCGGCCAGACTATTTAAAGCATCATTGTAAATATACAGCTCTTAAGAAAGCGAATATTGAAATTAAATGATCGATATGCCTTGATATCAGAGTCTTTTCATCGATACAGGAATTCTTTGCCGGTTAAATACTCTAGCTTAACATATCCGATATGTAAATCAAGAACTACTAATAAAATATAATTATTATCGTAGATTAGTGTCTATGCTTGTTCAATATTTTAATTAGACTGTGATGAAAATATTAACTGTCAACAACACAAATAGCTTTAACGTCGCATTACTCTTGCTGAGAAATAAGTCAACAACATAAGAAAGGATGAAAATTATTGAAATAACTCTAATGAAGTTAACTAAGAAGTAATTAAAATCGAATCATAAATAAAAATTTTAATGACAACTTTATGAGCAAGTGGGGTCATTTTGACTCCAACTTGGGCATATAAGGGTTTTAAGCTAAATAACCGTATAACCGTATAAAATCAGATATCTCATTTTGTTATGTAATTATTGCTTAAATACGAACATCAACGTATAGCTAGCTAGTTCTAATCCAAATTCCTTCAAAATTTGATGCAATAAAGCCATATTCACACACGATGATGTATCACTTTGTGGAGACGTCGTATAAACAAGGCCAAATCCCCAATTTTCTATGGACTAATTAAGAAATTTAGGGTTACCGTTTTCATCGATTTTATTAAGTAGGAAATCTAGAAACGAAATCGCATAATTAGCCATTCACTGAATGGTGAACTTGTGAGCCGTGAGTGGATTAATACATGCGAACGGCTGCTACTACTGTATATAGATAATTGGGGCCCAAATGGTAAGTTAACGAATCGACTTGACGTTAGTACTGCCATCAACAGTAACTCAATATCCAAGTACTGTGTAACCTATGGCACTATCAGCAACACATCCAATTTTAATTAATAAGGAACATAAAATTAATAAATAACACGAGCAGCAGTTAAAATAATACTGTAGATTGGTAGTGATCACTAGAAGAAAACCTTTAGTACCCATGACAATATCCTACACAAAAAGAAGGAGAGGGTCAGCAACTGATCGTTGGCAAAAACGTGCAGCTGACTGTTTTACTGGTCATTTGACTATATGGGAAGACTGAAATCGTATGCCGTATTATGCATAACCAATTTGATGGCTACTTCGGAGTGCACTTATGAATAGTTGACAGTATTCTCCTTCTCTAGTTAGTTAGTGTTTTAGTAATTCCTGACTGTATCAACGTTTTTTCCTTTCTTTTTGTCTCCGGTAGCATACTATATGGAATCCTTAGAGTGCACTACTGTAACTATGTAAAGTGAATACGTTTAGTTAGTTAGTCGCTGTAATTTGTATTTTAACTTAATTTAACGTAGTTACGGTAGTCAGGCAGGATACTCGATTCGCGTAGAATACTAGCTATGATATTGTATGTATCACATAATGTGTGCTTAGTAAATAGAATTCATGAATATAATTGTTAATTATAGACAGCTTATTTATCCGGTCCGCTTATTTGCCTTCCTGTCAAGTTATAAATCGCCTGCTGTTAATGGCAGGTTACAAACTGATCGGTCAACTTTTAAATTGATTCATCGCTCGGTCAGTGAACCAAGGAGTGCCGCAAAACAATGGTAAGAATGACCGCGTTTTTGCGTTTTTATTTACTTTATTTATTTTCATGTCAACAGCAAGAAAATAGTCTAGCAGGAACAGGGAATACTAAAAAGATTGACAGAGATCACTAAGCTGAAAGTTGATAACCCGATGGCCTGCTTAGAATATGCTAGAAAACAATCGCAGAACTTGTAATGATACTGTACTTACACAGCTAAAATGATTATTTTAAAGTAAAAATACCGCACCTGGAAAGTTATGGTGCAAGCGTGGGCATTTTCAGCACCCTAAATGCTATACTCCGATCACTATCATTTAACTCGGTTCTAGCTATGTATCATTAGCAAGCAAACAACTTCAGAACTTTAGCATGCAGTATACAAAACTATAAACTATTAGATATATCATCTAGTAGTCCATGTCATAATACATAATTATGACGAGTAGTTACTATATGTCAAATAATCTCACACATTTCAATTTTGGCAGACCGTTAGATCTCTTGTTTACTCCCAACAATCTGCAATAACCTGAATCGTAGAATTGCGTCTTTTCTTGTATAGGGCTTTTGCCTTTATTTGATCATTCATCGGGATTAAATTTAATGATAAAATACTTGAGGAAGGAGAAGAACAAGGAAGTCCTATTTTCAATATAATGTACGCTTTCATAACATTTCTAAACACTAACAACGGCGTTTTGTCGTTTCACATAATTGCGGTAAATCACATCGGAATACACATGCAACAGCTTCAACGTAGATAGTAAATAGTATTACAATACAGTAATATTGCTGTACAGAAAGGTAATTCGTATTATTACTCATTATTATTAGTTATTATTTATTTACGACATCCTCCCACCGCAAAAAGGGGGATTTTCTTGAGTATAGATCCATTTCTAATGGTTTGGGGTCTTTGATTCCTCGATAATTATGCTTTGGCGCACATTATGATGGTCAATGTTATATTAACACACTGTACTTATTATTACAATATAAGGAATTACTATAATATTATGATAATGATAAGTATTACTAGCTACACCATTCGTCACCTTAAACTGCATAGCTTAATTCTATATTGATCAATGCTTAAATTATCAGGTATATTTATTTTATCTGGTAAAGTTTGACAGAGTAAGCGTAGAATTAGATTAAAACATAATATTAGTCGTAAAATGGGCGTGTGTTGAAACATCTCTACGAATTTAGGTTAATTTCCTGCAATTTACCGCACCATGTACCGTAAAGCACACACACATTTACATTAATACAGACTCACAAAAATTATTATTTTAATATTCTATAGATTAATTATTTATTATCGTGTTCAAAAATTTATCACAATAGCTTCCAACTAAGTGTGATATTATTATTGTCTTTTATTATTTTTTCTTTTCTTGTACCATACTGTATATGTGAATGTTTTAATTACTTGCTGATTTACACTAGGCTTAAGTCCTTACGCCTATTATTCAACAACGTTGCTGTTGAAAAACGTAAAAGGGAAAAATTTACTTTCTTTACTGTAATAGTGCAGAGCACGCTGATTTCTTAAAATACTATGACTGAGGCTATATCAAACAAGATATGCAATTGCTAGCAATGCAGTAATATTTAGAACACTGGGAGTATAATGCAGTGGTACTACGGTAACTTTTCAGCTAAGTGTGATTTTCTCATATACATGCAAATATTTTCATAACTTGCTAACTTATTACACTGTGCTTGAGTCCTAATACATATCATAAAAACATTGTCATTGTTATAAAACATAAAGCAGACCGTTTAATTTTTCCTATTATAGAGTATTATAATAATTGTGCACATAAATATAAATTGCCAATTTTGAATTTTATCAAAAATTTCCTGGAAAACGTTTGGATGGTATGTCTGCGTTGTCATTTAAATCAATAAATCATCTTTAATCATTTTAATTGAAATGCACCGTACTTCAGACTTTGGAGTCAGTATGCTCTTCATTAGAACGAAGTAATATTTGACTACCATTTGTTTAATTAATTTTTATCTCATTATTAAGGCGTCTTACGAACATTTTATGTGCTTAATAAGCATTATATTTATCTTCATTCTAACTAAAATATAATACTCTGTATCTGCATAATTAACTGAGAATTTACTGAGTATAAGTTAAGTGGACGAAGTATCACTAGTGGGGTGTGCGATTAGCTGATACTTGTAAAATAGAGACAGCAAAGAAGTTTATTATATTAATCGGTAATAATATTTTACCATAAACAAGATAAGAATTTAAAATATTATAAACCATAATGCTATAATTACGTGTAACTAATCGTAATTATACTGGCAACTATATCATTCATTAATTTTCAGAATCCTGTTTAGCATATTTTTATTGAATATTGACTTTATTGATTTGCAGGTCACGGTGCGACATTAAGCACCTTTTTCATACACATTATATTTGAGCTCATATAATTCAATGTTATAATGTAAATAAAAATTTATCAAATTTGCATTCGGCTTCATTTCGAAGTTGTAGACGAGAACTAGTTGACGTACGTAACACTGTATTACTTTAAATTTGAATGCAAACCGGCATTGATATTTACGTGGCTACGCTATTTCAAGCATCGCTACAAATATGCAATTCTAAAGAACGCTAAATATTGAAGTTTAATGTACCTATATACTATGATATCTGTCGGAGTATTTTCTTTTCATCGATACCGGAATAGTTAGCCGGATATGTGAATCAGGAACTACTAATTGTTATCGTAGATTATTGTCTATTCTTTTTCAATATTTTAATTTTAGTTATACCATAGCGAAAATAATATCTGTCAACAACGCAAATAACTTGAACATTATATTGGTCTTGCTAAGAAACAAACCAACAGCAAAAGATAGGTAAAAAAATTTGAAATAACCCTATTGAAGCTAACTCAACATAAACCGAATAAAACAGCGTCATAGTTTTACAAGTACTGTTTTTTTTAAAGTTAAATAATTCTGCATGAAATCGGTAACGTCTCATTCTGTTATGTTAATTGCTCCTTCCATTCTACGGGCTGATGAATTCCTCCAAAATTTGATAAAGTAAAGCTAGATGCATACGCGAAGAAATACCACTTTGGGGAGATGTCATATAAACAAGGCCAAATCCTAATTTTTTTTTGTCTTGGATAAGGAATTTAGGGCTACTGTTTTCATTGAAGTTAAATAGCTGTTTTACATAATAAATCACATAATTGGCCTTTAACAATAAAGATTTGCATTCTCTACTTCCCTTTGTAAGAATCTTGTCATCAAATTTAGCAGTTATATTAGTAGCTAGTGCTAAGTAATATCTGAATAATGCTTTTGATTCTTGTACAGAGGCATTCTTGCTATTCCTGTTGATAAATACATTCCTGAGCGACAGAGACGTATTCAAAATTTTTGGATATAAAATAAATTGATGTAACAATAATTTTTGATTATTTTTAGCCAAATCACTAATTATCATTTTTGTGACGGCATCTATAAATCTTGATTCTCCAACTTTTTTTCTAGCATATTCTAATAGATTAATATCGGTAGTGTTGAAGTTAGGTAGGTTGCAAGTATCAGGAAGCTTTTGAAGTATTTCTGCGAATGCTTGTATTGGATGGGTGAGTTTCCCTGCGTCATCCGTTGCTGATCTCTTTGCTACTGATGCATTTTGACAATTTGGAATGAGGATGGCTGTAACAGAGATTAAGACTAGTAATGAATACTTGTGCAATTCCATTTTCAGTCTTTTTCTTTTGCTTGATCAACTTTTTCGTATGCCACAATTTGAATGGTGAATTTGAATGGATCAATGCATGAAGGAGACCGCAGTTATATAGGTATCTAGGGACCAAATCGTAAGTTAACGAATCGACTTGACGCCAGTGCTGCCATGACTAGTAGAATACACCAATTTAATATCCAAGTACTGTTGTGATCGTGTCCACTATCTATAAGAGTATTATTGCATAATCATGACTTGGGGAAAAAATAAACTCTTAAGCTTAGTAATTTACAGTACAGGCTATCTATGCCACTATTTGACACCCAACCGCGCAAAATGACTGCACGAGAAGTCAGCGCTCTGGCCATAGAGGTATTTTTTCTTACTATGATACTGCATGATATCCGCAGACTGATGGTAATTGTAATTACATAATAATTAATCCTGCCATTTTATGTTTTGAATTATGGGTCGTGTCTCTTACTGTGTTGAAAATAGTTCATCAACAGTCCGGTAGATATCAGCAGACCCTGGTCTAATCTATGTTTACAAATAAAATGAAAAAGGGCATTTACATGGTGATACATAATCGCACTATTTAAAGCACTGATCAAACTAGTATTACAGTATCTTATTATGAATTAAAAATAGTCATGACGAATCTCTCTACCATCTGTAGCTTTCTGTTTTTATTGTCGACTGCTAAGTTGAAGTTGTAAACCATTAATTATAACTGTATGATATTGGCAAACATCGATCGTTAAAAGTCTTTTCTCGAGTCAACTTGGCCCATTTCGTACAAGTTTAGTACAAGTGTACTGGTATTGAACGTTTTCTAGCAGGCATAAGCTAGTCAATCTTTCCTCTATTGAAGATTTCAATATACGCGTACTGTATACAGCAATATTGCAAGCGCAAAAAGTGTTTTTATTTCAATTTACTAGCTTGAATTTCCTGTAAAATAGGCTACCTAATCGACAGTATTTACGTTACAGATCCCTGCACTTTGCGGGAATTGTGCTGTTATTCTGCGTTAGTACTGCAAGACAAACTATTTCTTTATTTATTTATTTTACGTAGCACATGCCATGCGAATGAAAGTTGTCATAGTTAGAATATTAGTTGATGTTCTACTCAACATCATCATATCGTCAACAGGTCTACTTGATCTAACTTGATCGCACGTAGGGTGGATATCAGACTCGCTATACCAATACCATACCAAGGCATTTTATTCCACCACCGAAAGCTAATTGGTTGTCAGCTTTCTGTGCTAATGCATAATTTATTTTTGGTACGTTTTGCAGAGTAGTTAAGCAAAGTGTGTGAAAATTTTTATGTCGACGTGATTGTTAATAACAGTGGGCGGCACGATCACAATGATTTACCTTCTTGTTTTGCCTTTGCAGTAGGGCATTTTGCACGCGTTTACGATACCATTCTATTGGTGATGATTACTACGGTATACTGTATAATTAGGGGAATTTTCAGTAGTGTCAGTGATTCTGATAGTACCAACAGAAATGTCACTGTAATTACAATAATTACAAAAATAGCAATGACAAAGTTATAATTAACAGAGACTAGTATTTCATAGCTATCTCATGTGACCGTAAAAGTTCAAATGACAAGTTGTTCATCGTTGGTAAGTACCGCTGTACTCTGTCTATGATGGCGATATACAAAGAGTACACCAGTTATAGTAAAAAGTCATGCTTTGACAAGCATATATGGGATTGTCTAAGCATGACTTTTTTTGTTAATTTGGTGAATTCTGAACACGTCTATTGCAGCCACCATAGGCCAGCGTCATCGTCAAAGCATCATGCTACCATTTTATAAAGTTGCTCAACTTGACTCATTTTAAAAGTAATCCATTCGCAACAAGGTCAAACTACCTTGAAGTACAGTGGAGTACAATAGTGTCGAGACGAGTATCAGTTTCTTTTGCATCGTGCAGGGATGTGCAAAATCAACCTGAAACCCGATTTCAATCCGACTCGAGAGCGGGATTGGAGTTCAGAATTTCTGTGGTAATACAGTGTTTGTATAGCGATTGCGTTCACTTCGGGTTTGGAAAATTCAACAATTTGATCGGGTCCAGGTTGCCTTTTCACTCCATTGCACAAGACGGGCATAGTGTCTTTTTTGCAGGCCCTCGTCTGCCACTGTCCAACAGTACAGTGGTGGACTATACTGTGTGATTATTTTCGATGGCACCCTGAAAACATATAATTGTATAAGCTAAACCAGGCCCAAACTAGATAAGTTCTATATTTGATTGTAGCCTAATAACTCAAGAATGCTAATTTGGTTCTTATTTCTCTAGATATTCTATACTTTTCCCGTAAAATTGGTTAGAAGCTTGAAATCTCTACAGTATTATCGTAGTACTTTTGGAATGCTGTGCAGGACAGTACAGTGTGGACAGGCTAATTTCTATGATTTTTGTGCAAACAGGTGGATCCAATATTTTTTTCTTGGAACAAATTTCATATCAATCGATAGAGAAAGAGTTCATTTACACGAATCTGCCATTTAAATTCACCTACGACGTTTACTTTCATCGCCATGATTCATTAAAGTACGCCAGACGCTACAGTACAAAGTAAAAATGAAGGTTTGGTAACCCTATACTGTACTCTACCGTGTTACCGTACGTAGTACTGTAGTACAGAATCAAAGGTCTTAACCCTATGAGTACTATGGACTTGTACAGTACAATACGGTAAAATACTGCCTACACATTACACAGCTGTACTGCTCTTACGTCATGGTAGCGTGATTGCCATTGCTGTGAAAATTGAAAATTTCTGCAGAGGAGATTTCACCTTGATCAACAGGCAACGATTCTCACTGGTTGAAACTTGAAAGCGACTGGGATTCCATTTTTTTCTTTCTACAGAGTTGTGCAGTGAAGAGCTGAACTTTGCAATTTTGAAACATTACTCTACGCCTAAGTGACGATATCGCAAATACTCTACCGGAAGCCGTGATGTCGATACCGCATAAACAGTTATTAAATGAAGATGAATTAGATACTTCCAAACAGCCTCCATTGAGGGAAGGACCAGTGATACAAGCTGAGGCCCAAATTCCCGATCCAAATCAAAGTCAAGAGCAAATAGTAACCACAGTTATTGACGACCCTAACAGAAATGGCGAAGGCATTCCTGAGTTCCCAATTAGGAAGTCCATTGTCGTAGGTTGGCAGTATTGTCGAAAAATTGAAGGAATACTTAAAATCCTAGAATTGGTAATTTCTAAAGTACACGAGTAGTATAGTACACCGATTTCAATTGGACGACCAATAATGCTCTATGATCAACTTACATTGATATCGTATGCTTCAAAACATCCAATATTTGCTTGTAATGATCATAGAAGTGTAATCATTTTATCATGATTAGTATCATAGAGCGATACTGTCCAATCAAGACAGTAAGTACCACCACGCGTACGAGATATAAAAAGTCCGTCAGATTGACTTGTTGAGCTTATGAGCTTGCATACTTTTCAAGTACGCGTAGGACCTCTTGAATGCATATTCTTCACATCAATTATAATTATCGTCGTACGCGCATTTTTCTATTCTACAATGATCCTAATATATCATTAGTATCATTCTTTACTGTTCGTACCAATTGTTATGCGAAATTCGTGTCTGTCTGAAATTCGGTACAACAAGTTGAAACTCATTTTATTCTATTTTGATATGGCCATACAGGACATTTGCAATAGACTGTAAAGCCATTTTGAATACACCGATGATCATGACTGCTGCATCATTCATAGCGATAGAGAGTAATATATATTTATATACAAATCTAGTAAGCATTTGAGTATGCTGCAAAGCAATCTTTAACTGCTGGAAAGTTTAGCATAGGGTTAAGCTCGCCAGCGCTAAATTGCAATGTGTTATATGATACTGTACAGCGCCCCATACAGCATCACACAATATACGCTCTTGTAGTCAGATACCTGTGTACACTACTGCTGCGTATAGGACTGTCATGAATTCTGCAGTAAGACTAGTAGTCTCATGCAAGATTTCTTCCATTTCATGACCCTGTCTCATATTTGAACGCACGACTTCTTTGTTGCTAAATGATGGAGTTACTAAATTTAGTAATACATGCATACACACACGTTCTCAAGGTATATACTGTATATACACTGAGTCTACATGACTACTTGTACATTATACAGAACAAGTTTAAGAATATGCGTAAATTGGCGATGACAAGCAGCTGCGTCTTGACATCGAATGAATGCATTTACAAAGTCGAGATATCAACTTGTCATGGCACTAGGTTTTCATTTACATGTATTAATTTGATTAAAATTTTATTTATTGCGCTTCATACGTACAGAGCATAGTAGAAATCCTAAACCGATTTTATACCAAACGTTTGCATGCAATGCGTTGTAGTATCGTCTAGTAAAGGTTGAAAGATGTAAAAATTCAAATCGACAGAATACCAAATGTGCCCAAATGAAAAGATGAAGGACATCATAGGAGCAAGAATTAAATGCATCCACTCTATTTCATCAGTATCTGTTTAATTGCTATCATTTTGCTCGCATTGCTGTATTGGTAATAGCAAACTGGGTGAAGATGACCAGTCGTAATGCACTCTTATGCGTACAATATATTAATTTAAACTACCTTTATTTTCCAAGATGTTTAGCTTCCTATCGTTTTGTCTGACAGCATCCTGGAGATCAAAGTATCAACACATGCCACATTATACCATTAGACCTAATGATGTCGGCTTCTTTATATTTACTGGCGTCATAACATGGCTATATTGTACCGCCGATTGTGCAATACATATTGTAGCTGCGTACAAAAACCTTGCAATTGCCTCTAGTTCTCATTGGCTAACGTTTGTAAGTAAATATTAGCGAATCTATTTTGCAAATTGAACTGTAATTATAAAGTCATCACTTGCTAATTGTCGTTGATTTCATCTTTTCTTTAATATCCTACTGGAAATTACAATAAACTAGTACGATTGTGAATATCCGATGTGATTGAGACACGAAGGCTTCGTTTTGCTATGTAGAAACGAGATTTATCTGATCGATTAATCCTATTTCTTGCAGAATTCAATTATCTCAGCAGTTATGGTCATTTTCTGGTTAGTTGGCTCTTCCTTAATAGCCAATATCACTGTTACCGTGCCAGGTTCTTGGGATGATTGGCAAGGAATCTTGGAGACTGCATCGGTTTGTAGTATTTCCTAATGACTTTTATAATTAACTTATCGTTTCGTTGTATTAGTAAAATTGACGATGGTAAATGCTGGTCGGTGATACTAGTTCAACGGACGAAATAGTATAGTAAGACAATGGTACATTACAACGAAGTTGATACAGTAAGCCGGACTAAAAAATCACTATTCAGTCGTAAAATGTTACTGGATGGTGAAACTGTTAGAGTAGGTACTTTTCGAAAAGCGAACAGCTTCTGAATGCTTGTAGACACCATTGCTTGCGGTGGTGAATTTCACAACGAACTATTTACTATAATTGTCATAAATTATTTATCCAACACATCAAGTAACAGGGTATAAAGTATATCTGTATTTAATGTATCATAAACGATAGACATGATCATTATCAAGTGCGTATAATAATCATTTTATGTCGATCTAATAATGAACTATTTTTTTAGGCATTTGGATTCCTGACCATGCTGTTATTTTTAGTCGATAGTATACTGTACGGCAAGCAATACTACAAAGAAAAAATGTTGAATAAGCCCACTCCTTCACAATATCCTAAAACGCCTGTTTAACTGAAACTAGTCATTTCTTTTTCGTAGCATTTATAGGTAGTACCAGTAGCTAAATTGCCATTAAGTATGAAGCTTTTAGTATCACTATGTTTTCGTCATTATGAAGGCGCAAGATGATATTATAGATGCGAAAATATTTCTATTCCCGGTAGATATTGCGCCATTGTTAGTATTCCGTTTAGTGTAAGCATAATATAATACAGCTAATACTGTAGGTAAGCGTACAATTACTACCTCATATTCATATTATACAGTACTAGTAGGAACGGTATTGCAATCTTTAATCTATGAACAGAATTATAACTAATGCAGAAATGTTGAATCCGAATTGATATTTACAAGTGCTACCAATCCAAGAATTGGTATGTAGAAACCGACAAACCGTGATGTGAACAGTATGTAGTGTAGACGTTACTATTATTATTTATTATTAGCCGGTGCAACACTTGCATTGCAATTAAAATAATAGCAAACATATTCTATGAACGATGAGCATAGTCGACTATATAATGTCACTATAAATACGGTCCATAATTTATTTAGTTAGCACGAAGCAACAGGCTACCAATATGCCCTAAAGGGAAAGGCTGATGCCTATTATCATCTACGTATAAATTTTAAAATCTTTACACTACTGTACTCGATAGTAATGATAACCATAATAAAAAATATGAATCCTAACGTCGTCGTGAATTTGGTGATTTTATTCAGCGATCTCCTAATGCGTTGCAATTTCTGAAAGATGCATTAGTGCTCGTTCCCTTTAATCTCCTTATCCGTGATGTTATTAATATGCTTTTAGCATAAAATTATGGATGCATGCACGAATTTATCCATCTCGACAAATTCTTGCGCTTAAAAATCAATTTCGTCCACAGAGGTAGAATATTCTCTACTGCTTAAGGTATAAGTAGCGAATTTTAGCAGGAATTTTTTCCAACATCCTTTCCATTTCGGTCCATGTGCGGAGAGTATGGGTGATCTGTAAAGCGCCGGATTTACAGTAGACGAACGGACACTCGGATATCGCCAAATCCAAATTCATTCTTTCCCAAGCCAAGCTTGCATCAGCCATAGCTTGCCTAGTTCTCTCATCTTATTTATTTAACTTTAGCTGCATAATGTGGTAAATTTTGCTTGGCGAACAGCAGTGAACCTACACGGCTTATCACAACTAAATTACTAGTTAGAGATATAAAGTACAAGCACCGTAAGCCTTGCAGCAACCTCTACTGACAGTGAAGAATTGGGACGATAATTTTTAAATATTTGAATCCCACTAGATGTTCATAACTCTTCGTTAGTTATCGATATAAGCTCACTACTGAGTTTTAGGAAGGGAGGCTCTGCTAGGCAAGTGTAGACTTTTGCAATCATCAAATAGAAATAGACCCAGTAAACCGAAAGGATTAGACGCCCTATATTACCTCCAGCCTACACCTGTTACTGTACAGACTTGGAATTAGCATTGTCGCTAAAATGCAAGGTGGAAATCTTCTAAGCTAAAGTGATAACGCAACGATGACCTGTATGAATTGGTGTTTAATCAACGAGAAATGTTAAAAAATAGAAGTCGAAATATACCTCTGCGTTTTAACTTTATAATGGAGGCCATGGTTTACGCAAAATCAAGGTAAACTACAAATTCAGTCGTGAATCAAATATTCTGCGTAATCATTGTGAGTTAAATGTATCGAAACCAAAGAAAAATCTCTTAATACCAAGGTTAGAAAATGGCCACTGGGCAATGTTGTTCTCACTAGTACAAAGTGCTCTTTTATCGATCAAAGCGAGAGGTGATTCAGAGGACGAATATGGACCCAAATTGGATTATAAAATCGTTGCCATTTGTAACGTAAAATATTTTGCTCCAGGTATGTAGCCAGTTAGCAATTTTCAATAAAATCAGTTTATACTTTCATCACTTTAGTGATAATACAGTAAAAATCGTCACTGGGTAAAACCTTGCATTACATTGCAAGATAATAATACAGAGTAGCACAAATAAATTTTCATTTTCTTTCTATTTTTATGGACGATAATGATACCATACAGTACAGTACTACTGACGTGTACCCAATTAATCTGTGGCAGTTATCTAGCGATTACTTGGTATGCTCTTGACGTCAACAAGATTAGATTACAAATCGTTAGCTTAAAGGTTTCTAAAGTACTGTACTGTGTAGTAATAAATATTGCAACAGTATCAATTGCCTTTCTATTCTGGATAAACCAGTTATTTTATGACGATGACGAATAGTTTTGATAGCAAAAATGTGTTATGCATACTAGACGCATTTTCGCTTGATGATGACTGTATTTTAATTAATACTGTAGATTGGAGAGACCAGCAACTGAAATTGTACAATGTCCCCATTATACTGATTACCTACTTCTTCATCCCTTACTGAATATACGGTATATTGAAAATGAGCTAATTTCATCCATTATGATTGCTGTTCATTGATGTGCTGCTACGTTCATTTGGTAGATACAATAAATATTGTATTTCGATCGCTTGCAAGCTAAAATACCTTTCAAATGTGAAATAAAATGAGAATAAGACCGTGGAGTTTATTTGGCATGCACTACATGTACTGTATCTGCATGACGTGTAATTAATTAATTATGGCAGTAAAAAGTCTGTTATTATAATTATGTCAATTCCACATACGTAAACTATCTGGATGAAATATATTTATCAACCATAAAAGCGCTATCAGTTAACGATAGGACATTTATGCAGAAATGGACTCTATGCTGACATGCAAATTTTTCGCTGGCAGTCAAAACGATGGCTAGTCGTACTTTTGGAGCATTTTTTGTACGGTAGATAGGAGAAATTTTCTTTCACTTTGAACGACAATACCATGGTCAAAGGTGAACTGTAAAATAATTGAATGATATTGAATCTATATCGACATGTAATTTCCTTACTGACAGTCAAAGTATTGGGTAGTACTTTTAATTCTGAATACTGCAAATCGCTAAATAACACAACGACATTGCTTCTGTGTGGACGATTTGATCCTACGCCAGTAGGGCAATTTGAAAGTTGTTACTCTTTCCATAGGTGACGAACAAAGGTATTGAAAATAGGAGATTGCAGGCAATCCTTGATGATGCTGGAGTCCTTGTTTACAGTTACGAATCGATAGCTATACTGTATCGTTGATTGGCTTTGGACATTTCACGGAAACGGTGTAGGGAACTGTACATGTATATTATAACAACAACTTTAAGATACGAGTAAGCGCGTCTATAAATCCATAGACTACAGGCATCATCTAGTATTTAAAATTGAAGCCATCGTTGCCTTAATGTTTTGGTGATCAATTATATATGAAATTACCACATTACTCTATATAGTATCGTATTCATCACTTACCTCCAGTGGGAATATTTTGACTGGATAATCATTGCTTGATTTCCGTTGTTTATTTAGAAGTTTTTCATAAAACTATCAAGCGCATGTAAAAAGAAAACTATGCGGAAGGCTTGAATAAGTAGGGGTATTTCAGTAGCAAAGTTTCTGACCTTTTATCTGACCGGTAGACAAATTTCATGGCTAGAGTCATTGGTGAAATCATTTCCTTCTTATTCTACTTTTTTCGTCCAAAAAATGACGAACTACAATCATAAGATTCTAGGCAAGAGGAAGGAACTCCATTAATGTTGCATTAGTATCTATCTTGACCAATCCATGTTCTACCAAACTAGTTCATAAAAAAAATCACTTCCCCATGTAATACTCTATTCGTGCAAATCTAAAAACTGCAATATCATTATGATGCAAGAGGAAGTGGTTCAATGAATTTTGCATGGGTATCTGCTGTATATTGATCAATCTATATTCTGCCCAAATAGTTCAAGAATAACTGTTCGATATTCTAACAGTCTACAACAAACATCAAGCATGATTACAAGCAAAAGGATTATTTTATTCATATGGACAATGATATATTCAGTAAATCGTCAGTCAGAAATGGCTCATATAAGACGTCGTTGCTAAAATAAGCTCATATTTTATTATTCTAATAACTTCATTGGATACAGATAATAGTAATAGTTATGGAATGTTCAGGAAAGGTTGGGCGGAAGGAAAAATAATTCTCTTACACTTAATTATATGATGATGCATGTTGGCACATGCATCACTACCAGCTCGATGATCATCACGTCATCAACATTGACGATATTTGCGTACCGATATCATCGGAATGAACGTAATATCTTTCTAGTAGATAAAAGTGGATGATAAGTAGACCAGGTAAAGCGATAGAAATAAGCCTATACAGTCAGAAATTTGTCAATGGAATGTTGAAATCCTTGTAATATTTCTTCTTATCTATCAAGTTATTTTACAGTACATCGAAACAAGTTGAACAACAACGATATTAGCTTTTAAATGCAAAGGTATTAGCCATTCGTTAACCAAGACTGGTCTTGCAACAGAAATTTCACGTAACAATTTATTGTCTCCAATTTTACCCCTTGGGCGAGCCTCTCTGATTTTCCTGTCGAGAAAAACCAGTGGAAAAGTGATACTGATCGATCGATCCGTTAATTTGCTCTTTCTCGCTTACGTTTTCAATCGCATCGATTGAAAATAACTTGAACGACAAAGTCAAAATTCAAGCTACTTAAACTGGTGAGTAATACAATTGATCAGGTAATGGTAGTGAGCTTGTGGAATTGCTGTGTTTTATTATAAATTGATCATGGCCTAAACTGTTTCATTGAAATGAATGCTAAGTAAAAATAATTCGTGCATGCTAAATTGAACTGAATGATTAAGCACCGTAACACGGTCGATCAGGTATTTCCAATTAAACACAGTGACTGAGTAACACTGTTGATCAGGTTATATAGCAAGCATTGGAATAGCTACGGTGTTTAACTATAAAACTGATCGTAAGGTCGTTCATTTATTGTAAATTGATACATAGTCTTTAAAACGAAAATCAGTGACTGAGTAATACTGTTGATCAGGTTATAGAGCAAACTTTGGAATAGCTACGGTATTTAACTATCAAATTGATCATAAGGTCGTTCATTTATTGTAAACTGATACAGAGTCTTTTAAAACGAAAGTCAGCGACTGAGTGATACTGTTGATCCGGTAGTTTTAGAATAGGCCTAAAATGGTTTATTAAATTCAAAAGAAATGAACGAGCTCAGTGACTGAGTGAGGATAATCGGGTATTGCATGAGCCTAAAATGGTTCATTTAGTTAAATTGATTTCAATTCTTTAGAATTTAACTCAGCGGCTGCATAATACTCTTAAGAGATTAGGTTATTTTAGTGAACATTAGAATAGCTGCGGTGTTTAGCTATAAAATTGATCATGAGTGCAAAATAGTTCATTTATTCTAAATTGATACTAAATATTTAGAATGGGACTACGCATAGTGGACGATGAAATGGCTACAGTGTTCAGTTATAAAATTGATCATAAGCGTAAAATAGTTCATTTATTCTAAATGGAAATAGAGCCTTTAGAATACAACCCGGTGACTTAAGTAATTTTATCGATCAGAGAACAGTGGACGATAAAATGGCGGTGGTATTCAATTATAAAATTGACCATAAGCGTACTAAAGTTGTTTATTTATTCTAAATTGATATCTAATCTTTAGGAATCAACTAGTGACTGAAAATACTATTGATCAGAGCCAGTAAAACTGGTTAATTTATATTCAATTGATTTCAATTTTTTCAACCTAATATCAACAAGTTGTAAACTCTTCAATGTCGCTGGAAACGAGCATTGGGTTATTTTTTTATATCCTTTATTAGCTCTGATAAATTTTTCTCATAGATATACAAGAAATTGACATGACAACAAAATTTAAAGTGACTATCCAGAAATTTGGGATCAACCTAGTCTAATGTACGATAGGGTTTCGTTTTATCTAGAAATACTAACTAGAACATAGCACTTATTCAATCTTTGTAATTATACAGTAGAAGACGTGATTGGATCTTTACCAGTTTAACTTGTATTGCTATATCCCGTAGTATAAATCATTTTTTTTATAAAAGAAATGACAGTCTAGAAATGTAGGATCAGCATTGACTGGAATATTATAGCATTTTAGTCGTATTTAGTACTACCCCTACCGCAGTTTATTCTCCTTTTCAATCCCACAAGACACGATTGGATTTTATCACTTTAATTTGTTCTGCCAAATTCAGTAGTGGAAAAAGTTTTGATTATAAAAAAGAATTTGCTGCCTAGAAATTTGGATCCATATTGTCTATAACATTTTTGAAGTTAGCAATACCTCAGCTTATTCTCCTTTTCAATCTTATAAGACATTATTGGATCTTGATAATTTCAACCTATAAAGCTAAATTGCATAGTAAAAATCCTTTTAATATTAGAAAACAGTCTAAAAAAATTGGAATCAGTGTTGACTAGAATATTTAGCTTTTGGTTTTATTTAGCAGTACCGCGTATCACAGTTTATTCTCTTTTTCAATCATCCAAGACATAATTGGATCTTAATCAATTTAAACTGTACTACCAAATTCAACAGCGAGATTTATTTTGGTCATAAAAAAAAATTGCTATCTAGAATTTCGGATCTACATTGTCGATAACATAGGTTTTAGCCGCATTGAACAACATCTTAGCTTGCTCTCTTTATTAATCACAAAGTCATGATTATATTTTGATCACTTTAACCTGTAGAATTAAATTTAATCGTAAAAAAATCATTTCGATTATTAAAATTTTCGTCTAAAAATTTTGGATCAATAACTGACTATAGCATAATAGCTTTTAGTTGTACTGGCTGTTAATAGTACCCCCTATCGCTCACATCTTGTTCCTTTTTCAATCATACATTATTAGATGGTAATCCCTCTTATGCTAGAAATGATTTTGATTAATTATAAAAAAATTACTGTCGAAGAATTTCAGATCAATATTAACTATAATAAGACAGGTTTAGTTGCATTGAATAATAACTCTTGCTAATTCTCTTTTCAATCCTATAAGATATCATTGCATGTTGACTGCTTTAACCCGCAGAGCCCAATTCAATAAAGTAAATAATTTTATTCATTACAGCCGTCTGGAAAAATCAATATCTTTAGCCAACCCCTTCCTTCAAAGCCAACCCCTTCCTCCAATAACGTCTGTGGTTTACGAAGTTATTATAACTCCATGGGTAGAGTTATTCTCCCAAAGTGACCGGCAATCATTGCAATAAAAATAAATATTAGAATGCTATTAAAACTTTTGTATTTTATCAACAATTCCAGTATAACCTGATGGTAGCTGAGATGGCGTGATGATAGCATTTGAAGCAAGATGATGACATGTTGATTTTTATTACTTACCGTTGACCAACAAGTAGAATTTTTGAAAGATCCATTAGTCAAGGTCATTATGAAACATAC